GGTATTTCTCCATCAGAGGTTCCAGGCTGTCACGGTACTCTTCTATATCTAAGTATTCTTCCCTCATCACGATAATTATCATTCCACCTGTATGAATATGAATTCTAAATCGAATATAATAGTTTATCATATAGCTAATAAATAGTATCTAATAAAATACTACCAAAATCTAGAGAATTCTAGCGTTCAATATCTTGACGTTTTCTTGAACGCTAACTTTATATTACGTATATTATGTGTATGCCCGAAACATTCCGAACATAGCGTTTAATATCGAAAGCTGCGTTGTATACAAAATAAGTCGTCTGGTCAAATTTTCTGAGCTAAATTAGATAGAGAAAGTGGCATCTAGGTAGGATGTGTTTATTTTTCGCACAAAAATGAAATTATTATTAAAATGTAGTACATATCAGACCCATTAAAGCCTAAATAAGCAAATCATATCGCTTTGTAGGGTGATCAGAATGATGCGATATTAAACGCTAACAGGACAGACGTTAATTTGAATACATATGCTTAATTATCATTAATTTGAGAGTTTTTTTTTTTTTTTTGTTTATTTATTTGTTTGTTTACTTAAGAAATAAGGTATCATTTTTTGGGTTTTAATTGGGATGTAAAATGGGTTGGTCACGTGATCAAATCTCATAAAGCCCTAAGGGCTTTATGGAAGATTTGATCATGTGCCAACCTACTTTACATCACAATAAAACTCAAAAAAATGTTACCTTATTACTTATATTTACATATGTGACTTATTTATTTCAAATAGTTACGTGCTTATCTAAACTTTGAAACCAATAATTTTTTTTTTCAAAACTTAACTGTAGATATTGAATGTGTTTATAATTCGATCGCTTATGATGTCACTATCAAAATACGTAGATCGATTATAACTAAACAATCAACTGATGGTCACATGACAAACTTGTTTTACGGAGCTGTAAAAACGCCTTGTTCAAATAGTGTTAAAAAAAATATTTGCAAATGTAAATATTAATAATTATTACAAAATATGTGGAAATGTTTTAGCTATATAATAAAGGAATTATTGAACTTATATTAGTGAATATTGGCACTCGTTATTACTAAACCTACCAGAATGTTTCATATTTGTGGTTTGAATAAGGAACATTACAAGATGCTTAAATTTTTTCAAAAAATTTTATATATTTTTAAAAGCTATCAACAGTGTATAAAAGTTTCTGTAATTTTTTGGAATTTTCATTTATATCTGTATAATGTACCTGGTTTTGTGATTCTGATCAGTTCCACCAGTGCACCTGAAGGTATATGACCACTTCCAAACCCTCCCGAAATAACAACACATGAGTATGCATCTAAAAATTAAAGACAGTTACATTTTTAACGATGTCATATTTTACATTTTTAAAAATGATTTACATTTACCTTTTAGACAGTTTTTTGGGATGTTCGGGTTGATGTATTTTACCTTTACTGATGTTTGGGTTTATGTATTTTACTGTTACTGATGTTTGGGTTTATGTATATTTTACTGTTACTGATGTTTGGGTTTATGTATATTTTACTGTTACTGATGTTTGGGTTTATGTATATTTTACTGTTACTGATGTTTGGGTTTATGTATTTTACTGTTACTGATGTTTTTGGTTTATGTATTTTACCATTACTGATGTTAGGGTTTATGTATATTTTACCATTACTGATGTTTGGGTTTATGTATTTTACTGTTACTGATGTTTGAGTTTATGTATATTTTACAATTACTGATGTTAGGGTTTATGTATATTTTACTGTTACTAATGTTTGGGTTTATGTATATTTTACTGTTACTGATGTTTGGGTTTATGTATTTTACTGTTACTGATGTTTGAGTTTATGTATTTTACTGTAACTGATGTTTGGGTTTTAGTATTTTACCGGTACTGATGTTTGGATTTATGTATTTTACTGTTATTGATGTTTTGGTTTATGTATTTTACTGTTACTGATGTTTGGGTTTTAGTATTTTACCGGTACTGATGTTTGGATTTATGTATTTTACTGTTATTGATGTTTTGGTTTATGTATTTGTCTGATACTAATGTTTGGGTTTAAGTATTTTACCGGTACTGATGTTTGGATTTATGTATTTTACTGTTATTGATGTTTGGGTTTTAGTATTTTACCGGTACTGATGTTTGAGTTTATGTATATTTTACTGTTACAGATGTTTGGGTTTATATATATTTTACTGTTACAGATGTTTGGGTTTATGTATATTTTACTGTTACTGATGTTTGGTTTTATGTATATTTTACCGTTACCAAGGTTTGGGTTTATGTATTTTACTGTTACTTATGTTTGGGTTTATGTATTTTACCGTTACTGATGTTTGGGTTTATGTATTTTACCGTTACTTATGTTTGGGTTTATGTATATTTTACTGTTACTAATGTTTGAGTTTATGTATTTTACCGTTACTGATGTTTGGGTTTATGTATTTTACCGTTACTTATGTTTGGGTTTATGTATATTTTACTGTTACTAATGTTTGGGTTTATGTATATTTTACTGTTACTGATGTTAGGGTTTATGTATTTTACTGTAACTGATGTTAGGGTTTATGTATTTTACCGTTACTGATGTTAGGGTTGATGTATTTTACTGTTATTGATGTTTGGATTTATGTATTTTACTGTTATTGATGTTTTGGTTTATGTATTTTACTGTTACTGATGTTTGGGTTTTAGTATTTTACCGGTACTGATGTTTGGATTTATGTATTTTACTGTTATTGATGTTTTGGTTTATGTATTTGTCTAATACTAATGTTTGGATTTAAGTATTTTACCGGTACTGATGTTTGGATTTATGTATTTTACTGTTATTGATGTTTGGGTTTTAGTATTTTACCGGTACTGATGTTTGAGTTTATGTATATTTTACTGTTACAGATGTTTGGGTTTATATATATTTTACTGTTACAGATGTTGGGGTTTATGTATATTTTACTGTTACTGATGTTTGGGTTTATGTATTTTACCGTTACTTATGTTTGGGTTTATGTATTTTACCGTTACTTATGTTTGGGTTTATGTATATTTTACTGTTACTGATGTTTGAGTTTATGTATTTTACCGTTACTGATGTTTGGGTTTATGTATTTTACCGTTACTTATGTTTGGGTTTATGTATATTTTACTGTTACTGATGTTTGGGTTTATGTATATTTTACTGTTACTGATGTTTTGGTTTATGTATTTTACTGTTACTGATGTTTGAGTTTATGTATTTTACCGTTACTGATGTTTGGGTTTATGTATTTTACTGTTACTGATGTTTGAGTTTATGTATTTTACCGTTACTTATGTTTGGGTTTATGTATATTTTACTGTTTCTGATGTTTGGGTTTATGTATATTTTACTGTTACTGATGTTTTGGTTTATGTATTTTACTGTTACTGATGTTTGAGTTTATGTATATTTTACCATTACTGATGTTTGGGTTTATGTATTTTACTGTTACTGATGTTTGAGTTTATGTATTTTACCGTTACTGATGTTTGGGTTTATGTATATTTTACTGTTACTGAAGTTTGGGGTTACGTATATTTTACTGTTACTGATGTTTGAGTTTATGTATTTTTTACTGTTACTGATTTTTGGGTGTATGTATTTTACTATTTCTGTTGTTTGAGTTTATGTATTTTTTACTGTTACTGATGTTTGGGTTTATGTATTTTACTGTTATTGATGTTTTGGTTTATGTATTTTAACGTTACTGATGTTTGGATTTATGTATTTTTTACTGTTACTGATTTTTGGGTTTTACTATTTTATCAGTACTGATGTTTGGATTTATGTATTTTACTATTAATAATGTTCGGATTTATGTAATTTTTTGTTACTGATGTTTGGGTTTATGTATTTTATTGTTTCTGATGTTTAGGTTTTAGTATTTTACTGTTACTGATGTTCGGGTTGATGTATTTTACCATTACTGATGTTTTGGTTTATGTATTTTACCTTTACTGATGTTTGAGTTAATGTATATTTTACCGTTACTGATATTTGGGTTTATGTATTTTACTGTTACTGATGTTTGGGTTTATGTATTTTACCGGTACTGATGTTTGGATTTATGTACTTTACTATTACTGATGTTTGGGTTTATCTATTTTACTGTTACTGATGATTGGGTTTATGTATATTTTACTGTTACTGATGTTTGTATTTTTATTTTTAATGTTACTGATGTTTTTGTTTATGTATATTTTACTGTTACTGATGTTTGAGTTTATGTATATTTTACTGTTACTGATGTTTGGGTTGATGTATTTTACCGTTACTGATTTTTGGGTTTATGTATATTTCACTTTTACTGATGTTTGGGTTTATGTATTTTACTATTACTAATGTTTGGATTTATGTAATTTTTTGTTACTGATGTTTGGGTTTATGTATTTTACTGTTACTTATGTTTGGGTTTTAGTATTTTACCGGTACTGATGTCTGGGTTTATGTATTTTAATGTTACTGATGTTTTTGTTTATGTATATTTTACTGTTACTGATGTCTGGGTTTATGCATATTTTACTGTTACTGATGTTTGAGTTGATGTATTTTACCATTACTGATGTTTTGGTTTATGTATTTTACCTTTACTGATGTTTGCGTTTATGTATATTTTACCGGTACTGATGTTTGGGTTTTTGTATATTTTTCTGTTACTGATGTTTGGGTTTATGTATTTTACCATTACTGATGTTTGGATTTATGTATTTTACTGTTATTGATGTTTGGGTTTATGTATTTTACTGTTTCTGATGTTTGGGTTTATGTATTTTACCGGTACTGATGTTTGGATTTATGTATTTTACTGTTACTGATGTTTGGGTTTATGTATTTTACTGTTACTGATGTTTGGGTTTTAGTATTTTACCGGTACTGATGTTTGGATTGATGTATTTTACTGTCATTGATGTTTGGGTTTATGTATTTTACTGTTACTGATGTTTTGGTTTATGTATTTTACTGTTACTGATGTTTGGGTTTATGTATTTTACCGGTACTGATGTTTGGATTTATGTATTTTACTGTTACTAATGTTTTGATTTATGTATTTTACTGTTACTGATGTTTGCGTTTATGTATATTTTACCGGTACTGATGTTTGGGTTTTTTTATATTTTACTGTTACTGATGTTTGGGTTTTAGTACTTTACCGGTGCTGATGTTTGGATTTATGTATTTTACTGTTATTGATGTTTGGGTTTATGTATTTTACCGGTACTTTTGTTTCGGTTTATGTATTTTACTGTTACTGATGTTTTGGTTTATGTATTTTACTGTTACTGATGTTTAGGTTTTAGTTTTTTACCGGTACTGATGTTTGGATTGATGTATTTTACTGTTATTGATGTTTGGGTTTATGTATTTTACTGTCACTGATGTTTTGGTTTATGTATTTTACTGTTACTGGTGTTGGGGTTTTAGTATTTTACCGGTACTGATGTTTGGATTTATGTATTTTACTGTTATTGATGTTAGGGTTGATGTATTTTACTGTTACTGATGTTAGGGTTTATGTATATTTTATCATTACTGATGTTTGGGTTTATGTATATTTTACCGTTACTGATGTTAGGGTTTATGTATATTTTACTGTTACTGATGTTTGGGTTTATGTATATTTTACTGTTACTGATGTTTTGGTTTATGTATTTTACTGTTACTGATGTTTTGGTTTATGTATTTTACTGTTACTGATGTTTGGGTTTATGTATTTTACCATTACTGATGTTTGGATTTATGTATTTTACTGTTATTGATGTTTGGGTTTATGTATATTTTACTGTTACTGATGTTTGGGTTTATGTATATTTTACCGTTACTAATGTTTGCATTTATGTATGTTTCACCGTTACTGATGTTTGGGTTTATGTATATTTTACTGTTACTGATGTTTTGGTTTATGTATTTTACTGTTACTGATGTTTGGGTTTTAGTATTTTACCGGTACTGATGTTTGGATTTATGTATTTTACTGTTATTGATGTTTGGGTTTATGTATATTTTACCGTTACTGATGTTTGGGTTTATGTATATTTTACCGTTACTAATGTTTGCGTTTATGTATATTTCACCGGTACTGATGTTTGGGTTTATGTATATTTTACTGTTATTGATGTTTGGGTTTATGTATTTTACTGTTATTGATGTTTGGGTTTATGTATTTTACTGTTACTGATGTTAGGGTTTATGTATATTTTACTGTTACTGATGTTTTGGTTTATGAATTTCACTGTTACTGATGTTTGGGTTTATGTATATTTTACTGTTACTGATGTTTGAGTTTATGTATATTTTACTGTTACTGATGTTTTGGTTTATGTATTTTACTGTTACTGATGTTTGGGTTTTAGTATTTTACTGTTACTAATGTTTTGGTTTATGTATTTTACCGGTACTGATGTTTGGATTTATGTATTTTACTGTTACTGATGTTTTGATTTATGTATTTTACTGTTACTGATGTTTGCGTTTATGTATATTTTACCGGTACTGATGTTTGGGTTTTTGTATATTTTACTGTTACTGATGTTTGGGTTTATGTATTTTACCATTACTGATGTTTGGATTTATGTATTTTACTGTTACTGATGTTTGGGTTTATGTATTTTACTGTTTCTGATGTTTGGGTTTATGTATTTTACCGTTACTGATGTTTGAGTTTATGTATATTTTACTGTTACTGATGTTTGGGTTTATGTATTTTACCGGTACTGATGTTTGGATTTATGTATTTTACTGTTACTGATGTTTGGGTTTATGTATATTTTACCGTTACTAATGTTTGGGTTTATGTATATTTTACTGTTACTGATGTTTGGGTTTATGTATTTTACTGTTACTGATGTTTGGGTTTTAGTATTTTACCGGTACTGATGTTTGGATTTATGTATTTTACTGTTACTAATGTTTGGGTTTATGTATTTTACTGTTACTAATGTTAGGGTTTATGTATATTTTACTGTTACTGATGTTAGGGTTTATGTATTTTACTGTTACTGATGTTTTTGGTTTATGTATATTTTACTGTTACTGATGTTTTGGTTTATGTATTTTACTCTTACTGATGTTTGGATTTATGTATTTTACCGGTACTGATGTTTGGATTTATGTATTTTACTGTTACTAATGTTTTGATTTATGTATTTTACTGTTACTGATGTTTGCGTTTATGTATATTTTACCGGTACTGATGTTTGGGTTTTTGTATATTTTACTGTTACTGATGTTTGGGTTTTAGTATTTTACCGGTGCTGATGTTTGGATTTATGTATTTTACTGTTATTGATGTTTGGGTTTATGTATTTTACCGGTACTTTTGTTTCGGTTTTTGTATTTTACCGTTACTGATGTTTTGGTTTATGTATTTTACAGTTACTGATGTTTGAGTTTATGTACATTTTCCTGTTACTGATGTTTGAGTTTATGTATTTTACTGTTACTGATGTTTGGGTTTATGTATTTTACCGTTACTGATGTTTGGGTTTATGTATTTTACTGTTGCTGATGTTTGGGTTTATATATTTTACTGTTACTGATGTTTAGGTTTTAGTTTTTTACCGGTACTGATGTTTGGATTGATGTATTTTACTGTTATTGATGTTTGGGTTTATGTATTTTACTGTTACTGATGTTAGGGTTTATGTATTTTACTGATACTGATGTTTGGGTTTTAGTATTTTACCGGTAGTGATGTTTGGATTTATGTATTTTACTGTTACTGATGTTAGGGTTGATGTATTTTACTGTTACTGATGTTTGGGTTTATGTATTTTACTGTTACTGATGTTTGGATTTATGTATTATACTGTTACTGATGTTTTGGTTTATGTATTTTACCGTTACTGATGTTAGGGTTTATGTATATTTTACTGTTATTGATGTTTGGGTTTATGTATTTTACTGTTACTGATGTTTGAGTTTATGTATTTTACTGTTACTGATGTTTGGGTTTATGTATTTTACTGTTACTGATGTTTGAGTTTATGTATTTTACTGTTACTGATGTTAGGGTTTATGTATATTTTACTGTTACTGATGTTTTGGTTTATGTATTTTACTGGTACTGATGTTTCGGTTTATGTATTTTACTGTAACTGATGTTTTGGTTTATGTATTTCACTGTTACTGATGTTTGAGTTTATGTACATTTTACTGTTACTGATGTTTGAGTTTACGTATATTTTACTGTTACTGATGTTAGGGTTTTAGTATTTTACCGTTACTGATGCTTGGGTTTATGTATTTTACAGTTACTGATGTTTGAGTTTATGTATATTTTACCATTACTGATGTTTGGGCTAATGTATTTTACCGTTACTGATGTTTGGTTTTATGTATATTTTACCGTTACCAAGGTTTGGGTTTATGTATTTTACTGTTACTTATGTTTGGGTTTATGTATTTTACTGTTACTGATGTTTGGGTTTATGTATATTTTACTGTTACTGATGTTAGGGTTTATGTATATTTTACTGTTACTGATGTTTGGGTTTATGTATATTTTACTGTTACTGATGTTTGGGTTTATGTATATTTTACTGTTACTGATGTTAGGGTTTATGTATATTTTACTGTTACTGATGTTTGGGTTTATGTATATTTGAGCCAGTGTATGAGAAAAGGGGTCTTATGACATAACGTCATAATGCACAGAAAACGTCATAAACGTCATGAACGTCAGAATATTGCGCGACGTCTGCAATTTCAAAGACGCTCCAATTTCAAAGTGAAAATAGATTATCTACGCTATTGAACATTAACGTCATCAACTGATCATAGTAGTCACCACCATCATGTGAATATGGATGAAGTTAATTCTGAATTTCAGGTATTTATTTTAGATATTAATTTTACGCATGTATGTACAATATTAATTTACACAACAATCAAGAAGACCGATTATGTAACCTACCGACGCTATAGTAATTAAAGTACAGCTGTCAAGACATGGATTGCCTATATTTAACAATAAGGTATTATATATATTCATATTGTACCTCGCTATAGATACCAGATATTACAAGGTTAAAACCAGGGAAATAAATATATAAGATTAAATCAGAAGAGAATTGAAAAAAAATGAAGAGCATTATATACATGAGACTTATTTTTCTCGGTCCGAAAAATGCGTTTATTATTTCTGCAGTATGCGCGTGTTTTTTTTTTTTTTTCATTTTATTACTGAGCAATGTAGTTTTTCAAGTGATGTTTAAATCACAACAAGGAATTCACTTATAAATAACCTTTAGTCCATTTCAACGTTATTCAAGAAAAGAAGAAAAACAAGTCACCAGCACAATAAATGTTCACATATGGTGACTATATATAGTCGGGCGAGTTTTTGGAATTCTTACAGATCAACTTTCTGATTAGATGTTATATATTAAGTTTTTTTTTTTACACACAATTACATTTTACACAGTATTTTCAATTTCACGTTTACAAATTGTTTTAAATAAATCCCTGTGTTTTCCAATAATAGTTCCTTCTACTTTGATGAATAAAAACGCCCAATATATATGTTTAAATTTCCCTTGGTTTACGCTGAGCTTAGCAACAGAGTTAACATAACGCTCAGAATATTGACGGACAGACTAAATAAAGTCTACGAAAAAATCGAATATAAAAAAAATAGAATATATACGAATATAGCTGCAGATCTGTAGCTCTCCGAAAAAAAAATATATATTGATAGATCGGTGAGCTACAGATCTGCAGCCAATACGAATAAAAAAGTACATCATATTCCTTTCTTTAGTTTTAATATTTGAAAACAGGACCAGAAGAGTAGAAATTGAAATAAAATTTTAATTTATAAAATCCATTTTTGCAAATTCTACTATAAAAATTCAACTAAAGTGTATCTTTCAAATTTAATTCTATGTCATTTATATTTCATTATAAAGGACTAAAACGTTTAATAATTATAAAGGAACATGAACTGCATTTAAGGGATATATTCGTTAATGAAATAAATCAATAAAAAAAATTATTATTAATAGTCTTGTAATTTTTAGGAACTAGATGATCTTTTCAATACACACTTTTGGTTGGAATCAGCTGCCAATTCACACTCAGATTTTGAGGAAAATCCTTCAATAAGCGATCAGGATGAAACACCCTTTGATCCCAATAGATTAGACAGAATACGTAATTTTGTTCTCTCTCAATCAGAAAATGAATCGTCTGACTGTGAAAGAGAGAATGAAAATGAAAATGACATGCCTTCAGAACTGAATGACATTGAACGAAATTGTAAATGTGGTCAGCGTTGCTTTTCAAAGTTTGAGAATGCCGTAATTCTTGACCATGTATTTAATGTTAGAGAAATGGAAAAAGATGTTAAAGATTTATACATCATGGGTTCTATTAGCATTACCGGGTCTTATGACACTCGAAAAGGATCAAGATCCCGAAATTCGTACCACTACAGTTTTAGAAATGTGAAAATTTGTAGATCGACTTTCCAGTGTTTGTTTGATGTGGGGAAAAAGTCTCTCTCTAATATCCTGAAACATTATTCAGCAAATGGGGCCGTCCCTAGACGACATGGAAATCAGGGTAGAAAGCCAAAGCATGCAGTTAATTTTGACGATGTACAGAGAGTGGTAAATTTCATTTTGGGTTACGCCGAGGAACACGGCCTCCCTCAGCCCGCGGCCCCCAGAGGTCGGGATGATGAGCCTCCCATTTTTCTTCCTTGTAATTCTACAAAGAAAGCTATTCATGGCCAGTACAAGTCGGCATGTGATTCAGATGATATAAGGAAAGTACAATACCACACTTTTACAAATATATGGAACTCCTGTTGTTCGCATATTAAAATATGCGGTCCTCGTTTTAATGTTTGTCATCAATGTGAATTACTGAGGAAGAGGGTACTCGATGCAAGATCAGAAGAAGAGAAGTTAGAGGCCTTTTAAAACAAAATTTCAAAGTCACATCGATATAGCACAGAAAGAAAGAAATCTCTACAAAATTCTGGTTAAGGAATCGCTGGAAGAATTGCAAGGTATAAATCGCCAGGAACATCACATCCACCCGTTATCCTCTGACTTCACCAAAGTGCACTATACATTCGATTTTAGCCAGAGTGTTGCTTTGCCTCATCATGCACGTCAAATGAGACCCTTGTATTTTCTTACTTTAAAGAAAGTACACATATTTGGGTTTCGTGTTGACGACAAACCTATGCAATATAACTATTTGATCGGGGAAAACGAAACACTTGGACTGGATGGGACGCATTCGCATGGCCCCGATACAGTTATTTCCTTGGTGCATCATGGCCTTGGCAACTATGGATATGGAGAAAAAGAGTGTTTGATCCATGCCGATAATTGTGCAGGTACTCTCTCTCTCTCTCTCTCTCTCTCTCTCTCTCTCTCTCTCTCTCTCTCTCTCTCTCTCTCTCTCTCTCTCTCTGTGTGTGTGTGTGTGTTTATAATCGTATATGAGTGTAGTGTAATAATCAGGCTTTTAATCCAGTGTGTAATAAATGTCAAAATATTACTAAGCGAAAGAATGCTGTTTTACACTGTTACAGTTCATCTTCTCAATGGTGCGTTGTAAGGTTTTTAGATATAAAGAATCTAATACACTGTATATTATTTTGCTACAGTAACATTTATTTTTATAAGCATTTCCGCCTTTAGAAAATTAAATCTCTGATTTTAATTGTTGGGGCATATGAGAAATTTATGATATATTGAGTCTATATGATGGCAACCTAAGGGCTTGTATAATTGAAATTAAATACCGTATAAGTGGAAATTTTAGCGAGACGCAAATTTAGCGATTTCTCCTTAAAAAATGGTAATTTATTTTTATCGAAAGGTAATTTTAGCGATTTTAAAATGCTTACTAAAGATGCTGTTACAAATAAAATGGAATTAATGGAAGCGATATTTAATTTTAGCGATCTCATGACTCTCGCTAATAATGCCAAAATTAAATCCTCGCTAAAATTTCTACTTAATCGGTAAAGAAAATGTTAAGCAGTATACTTGCAGTATTTGTAAATTTTCGTTTGGGTTTGAATCATGTTTGAGTGTATAAATAAAACAATCGTATGTTTCACTTTAAAAAGATATGAAAAATGCAAACTCTCTACTAAATTATTGTTCCTGTATTTTCAGGTCAAAATAAGAACAAGTTCCTGATTGCGTACTTTGCATGGCGAGTGATTACGGGTTTGCATCATCAAATTACTTACCTAATGCAGGTAGTTGGATATACACGATGTCTGATTTACGCAGGTTTTGCAAGGGCAAAAAAGTTGTTTCGTCGCACCGACTGTGATAGTGTGAGTGAACTTCAGAGAGTTTTTGATCATTCTTCAACAACGAACAAAGGTATTCTTTACGACAACGGAAGAGATTCTACATGGAAATACTACGACTGGAAAGAGTTTTTGGGCCGTTTCTTCACCTCGTTACCTGGTATTTCAAAATACCACTCTTTCCGATTTCATGCGGACTTTCCAGGATTTGTATTTGTAAAAGAAAATGCTGATTCGACCGAGAAAAAAATCAAAATATCAAAACCAGATGGACTTCAGCAGATACCAGGAAATTTTCCTAGGGAACTTACACCCCTCGGAATGTCTAGAGAAAGAGTTCAGTATCTTTTTAAGAAGGTCAGACCATATGTACGTCCAAGATGTCAAGATGAATTATGCCCTCCAGCCCAGACCGAAGAATAGCTTACCTAGGCTATTTATTTCCCAATAAAAATGTAACAAATGTAACCAATGCAAAAATTTTGTTTCATTGACAAAATAACACAATATTTATTGATTGTTAAACATTTTTTGAAAATAAAATTAATACAAAAGAAAAAAAAAATTACGTTTAATACAATAGGATCTCACCGGGTTGATGTGTGACGTTTTTGACGTCAAAATACGGGATTCCGACGTTTTAGCCATTTTTACTCCATTTTTTTAACCATTAAATGAAACACTTATAAATAAGATATACAAATAATATTTATATATTCCGATTCCATGCGTTTTCTTCTACCGGAATCAACAAAAATCTGAATTTGTGATTTTTATGTCATAAGACCCCTTTTCTCATACACTGGCTCATTTTACTGTTACTGATGTTTTGGTTTATGTATTTTACTGTTACTGATGTTTAGGTTTATGTATTTTACTGTTACTGATGTTTGGGTTTATGTATTTTACTGTTACTGATGTTTTGGTTTATGTATTTTACCGTTACTGATGTTTGGGTTTATGTATATTTTACTGTTACTGATGTTTGGGTTTATGTATTTTACTGTTACTGATGTTTGGATTTATGTATTATACTGTTACTGATGTTTTGCTTTATGTATTTTACCGTTACTGATGTTTGGGTTTATGTATATTTTACTGTTACTGATGTTTGGGTTTATGTATTTTACTGTTACTGATGTTTGGATTTATGTATTATACTGTTACTGATGTTTTGGTTTATGTATATTTTACTGTTACTGATGTTTGGATTTATGTATTTTACTGTTACTAATGTTTGGGTTTATGTATATTTTACTGTTACTGATGTTTGGGTTTATGTATTTTACTGATACTGATGTGTTGGTTTATGTATTTTACCATTACTGATGTTTGGGTTTATGTATTTTACTGTTACTGATGTTTGGGTTTATGTATTTTAGTATTACTGATGTTTGGATTTATGTAATTTACCGTTACTGATGTTTGGGTTTATGTATTTTACTGTTACTGATGTTTGGGTTTTAGTATTTTACCGGTACTGATGTTTGAGTTTATGTATATTTTTCTGTTACTGATGTTTTGGTTTATGTAGTGTACCTTTACTGATGTTTGAGTTTATGTATATTTTACCGGTACTGATGTTTGGGTTTTTGTATATTTTACTGTTACTAATGCTTTGGTTTATGTATTTTACTGATACTGATGTTTGGGTTTATGTATTTTACTGTTATTGATGTTTGGGTTTATGTATATTTTACCGTTACTGATGTTTGGGTTTTTGTATATTTTACTGTTATTGATGTTTGAGTTTATGTATATTTTACAATTACTGATGCTTGGGTTTATGTATTTTACTGATACTGATGTTTTGGTTTATGAATTTCACTGTTATTGATGTTAGGGTTTATGTATTTTACTGATACTGATGTTTGGATTTATGTATTTTACCTTTACTGATGTTTTGGTTTATGTATTTTACCGTTACTGATGTTTGGTTTATGTATTTTACTGTTACTGATGTTAGGGTTTATGTATATTTTACTGTTACTGATGTTAGGGTTTATGTATATTTTACTGTTACTGATGTTTGGGTTTATGTATATTTTACTGTTACTGATGTTTGGGTTTATGTATTTTACTGTTACTGATGTTTGGGTTTATGTATATTTTACTGTTACTGATGTTAGGGTTTATGTATATTTTACCGTTACTGATGTTAGGGTTTATGTATTTTACTGATACTGATGTTTTGGTTTATGTATTTTAAAATTATTGATTTTGGGGTTTATGTATTTTACTGTTACTGATGTTTGGGTTTATGTATTTTACAGTTACTGATGTTTGAGTTTATTTATATTTTACGAATATGGTTGGCCGTTCTACTCACAATTATTTATTTTTACTCCACTAAAATTATTTTTACTGCAGTAAAAATAAAACACTGGCCATTGCTACTCACAATTAAATGTTTTTACTCCAGTAAAAATATTTTTACTCCAGTAAAAATAATTTACTTCTCTACCAAAGTAAAAATACAATGTGGCCATTTAACTCACAATTAATTAATTTTACTCCTGTAAAATTTTTTTTACTGCAATAAAAATATGACACTGGCCATTTCTACTAACAATTAAATATTTTCACTGAAGTGAAAATCAACCAATCACAGTCCATGTTAGATATTTGTTGGGTAAACTTGCCTAGGCTGTTTACACATGACAATTAGAAAATGTATCATACATAATATAGGCATTGAAATTGGGGTTTACCTACTTTTTGTTGGTTTAGCTCCCCCCTCCCCACTTTCATTTTGCTTCCGACGCCTATGACAGAGAATATAGTGCAAAAGGACTACTGTACGGATTTCCCGATATATACTGTATAGTCTTTAGAAAACATAGTATATTAAGAGTATAGAAAACATGTAGTGGTACTATAGGAAACATCAATTAAAGTTTAAGAATTTTTTTCTCGTGAAATTATAGGCTGAATCATAGCATGAAAAAATTTCTATGATAAACATGTAGAGACAGTTCCGGATTTTTGTTATATCATAACTTTTGTTTTCTAACTCAATGCATATCCAAAGTGCCAAGTAAATATAAACATATTAGATATTTTCTATTTAAGCTTTCGAAAAATTGTTAGCCAGTACCAAAATAGAAATCAGTTTACGGCTAGATCTTCACGTTTGTTGAAATAAATTGTTTTTAAATCATTTAATTATTTGTATTAGCCAATACTGTTAATATGCTTATTTGTAACAAACTTGGTCATTGGTTGATTTTTACTCAAGTAAAAATATTTAATTGTGAGTAGAGATGGCCAGTGTTATATTTCTACTGCAGTATAAATAATTTAAAATTTGTGAGTTAGATTGCCGGTGTTTTATTTTTACCGCAGTAAAATTAATTAATTGTGAGTAATGTGGCCAAAAAGTATTCTTACTTCAGTCAGAAATTAAATTATTTATACTGAAGTAAAAATAATTTTACTGGAGTAAAAATATTTTTACTGGAGTAAAAATATTTTTACTGGAGTAAAAATATTTAATTGTGAGTAGCAATGGCCAGTGTTTTATTTTTACTGCAGTAAAAATAATTTTAGTGGAGTAAAAATAAATAATTGTGAGTAGAACGGCCAACCATATACGATTACTGATGTTTGGGCTAATGTATTTTACCGTTACTGATGTTTGGTTTTATGTATATTTTACCGTTACTAAGGTTTGGATTTATGTATTTCACTGTTACTGATGTTTGGGTTTATGCATATTTTACTGTTACTGATGTTTTGATTTAAGTATTTTACCATTGGTGATGTTAGGAGAAGGCTCTTTGGACAGAAACTCGCAGTAAATCTTCTGGTAGATGTTTTTCGCCCGTGCCTTACGTAACATGTTTTCACTGGGATCCAAAGCGTCAAGTTGTTTGAAACCTTTCTTGACCAACTGTAAATTTAAAGAAGGAGCAATTTTTTTAATATAGAGATATCTCCTGGCCGAATACTTAAGCCTAGTATTGTTTAACGATAGCTAAATAAGTGTGGAAGAATAAATGAATCATTTTGTATACTCAAATCTTTTGCCTGTCCTATTGTATGTACAATCGAGACAAAATTTTGTAATGGACGATTTAAGCTGTTTTAATTGAGAAAACAATTAAACATTTGATTGATTGTTTGTAAGGAGTTTTACGTCCCATTTGAGAAAGTTTCACTCATCCAGAAACGTCGCCTTCTATGGATGAAAGGCTTCGAATTTAGACCTTAACTTCACACCCTGACTTTTCAAAATCAGTCAAAATCAACAGTATCAAAAATTTTTCAACACTTCCCAGAGTTTTTAAGCAGCTTCCTTTTTAATAAAAATGAAAGTAATCAATTAATATACCTTGGTCATTGCCATCTGGAATTTTGAAGAAAAAAACCATTTCGATTGTACACACTAGTACACCAATATTGATATTTAAAAGATGTGTGAATTTCCGAATAACGATTTCTATGCATGCAATAATCTGTTGGAATTTTTACGGGTAATTATTGTGCCCCGTTATTAGCAGACGTTATGTTACCTCTTCAGCTACTTCCCCCGTACCGGCTGCCACGTCCAGAATTTGAACTGTATCTTTGTTACTTGGAAAGCTTCGGTCAGCTGCTTCAGCAGCGTATAGTGGCCCATTGTATCTACCAGGCTGCAGGTGCTGAACCGATAAAGACCCTTGATATAATTTGTTTTACGGAGCAACATCTTTTTTTCTTACATGAATTTAGAAAGTTATTTAAGAAATTAATTTTCAGAAACTAATTCAATAAACCATTATTAGAATCAAATGTCTCAATTTTCTTGTAAATTTAATATATTAATTACCTTAGTCTGCCTTATACATGTAAGAACTGAATATTTACAAACCTTTTTCCTCTTAACTGTGGACCAATGAAATTTATTTCTAAAGATATTTGTTAATGTATAGTTACCGTTTCGTAATCTTCCCAGTTGTTGTAGTAATCGATAACTTGTTGTTTATTTAGACCTCCAGAGAAAACTCGGGCGGTGGCTTCAGAAGCCTTTTTGTCTTCATAGTCCATATTCTGGAATTTTTCATATAATTTTCAAAATTAATAAATACATATTTAAATGAGAAATTCTTTAAACAATATACTATTCACCGCTTTCTGCAACCTTACCTGAATTGTTATATACTTCTATCATAGAGGTTTAGGATATCAATTAAGTGAAAATAATTTAAAAAGCTATCATCATTTTCTGCATACTGCTTTATGGATACTTCCGTCTTTGTTATTTATCATATGCTGAGATCGTCTACTACAATATAAGAAAATTCATACAAGCCTACCTCAAATACCCCGTTCACTAATCGACTTCCTGACAAAGGGTATGTTTTTCCTGGGCAGACGAACGCACAATAATTTTATTGCCCAAATTTTTGAGGGGCTTGAAATACAGATTTGACAAATATTCATCACCAGTAAA